AGGACACAGCCCTGTTTCACTCTGCTTCAGATGTCAAAGGAATTTGATGCTAAGCTACCAAAAACTACAGTGCCCTTCATTTCCTCATGAAAGGACCTGATGATGTTAAGGAGTGATTGGTGGACATCCAATCTTGGGAAGTATTTTAAAAAGGTTGTCCCTGCTAACCAAATCAAAGGCCTATGAAGAACTATGAAGAACTATGAAGGCCACAAAGAGTGGCTGTTGTTGTTCCCTACATTAAATAACATCGAGTGCCTACCTGTCTTGGAAGAGATGGACAGTGCACAATCTATAGCAGAAATAAAAGTGGCCTTGGATTCCCTCGCCTCTGGCAAGGCACCTGGGAAGGATAACATCCCTGCTAAAGTGCTGTAAAGAGACCATCACCACTGAGCTGTATGAAATATTTTGTCTTTGCTGGTGCAAAGGTGGAGTACCACAGGACATGAAGGATGCAAACATTGTCACATTGTACAGTACAAGAACAAAGGTGACAGAGCAACTACAATAACTACCGTGGCATCTCTCTTCTCAGCATTGTAGGGAAGCTGCTTCCCTGTGTTGTGCTGAAGAGGCTCCAGGTGCTTGCAGTCAGTGTGGATTTGGAGCTAATAGATCCACCAGTGACATGGTATTTTCCCTCAGACAGTTGCAGGAGAAATAAGTTTATGATATGTATGTAATTCACAGCTTGACTACTGTCTTATCTCAGCGGTTCTGTGCTCTGTGAAACTTGGCATCATATTAACATTTGAAGGGGCATCTCAGTAGAGTGTTTCTTAGGGAAAACAAGTCTCTATCAAGTATGAGGTTGTTGAATACTGATTTCATGCTGAGTGAAGAAACAAGTCATGATTTGAAGTGATGAAATTAGAAGCTCCTCTTAAATGCAGAGCTTATATACACCACCTTAAGAAGTGGGTTCAGTGCTCACATCATTAACATGCTGAGGTCAACTTAATGGAACTATATGAGTTAGTAATCTATTGAAATTGAAGCTACAAATGGTTATCTTCTCTATCCCATGGAGTGATTAGCTACCAATTGTTTCTGCAAGGGTCTTTGGTTTGCCTTCCTTAATTACCTGGCTGGGACATTTTCTTTTTGGTTCTATTGTGCAATAGAGGGCTGCTGCTTCATCGACTTTGTTCCTTGATGAAATATCAGAAGCTTAAGCAGGAATCCCCAAGTATATTGAAATCCTACATTACTTAGGCATTTGGTACATAGGTGAAAGTTCTTTCTGCTTCAGACTGTTTCTTGGTAAACATCTTATGAAAAAAAGCAGCTCAGAGAATTTTAGTAGATTAATATTATTTAGGACACAGTTTGTATTTTCCTTTGGAAATGCGTATATGTTATTAGAACTTTTGCCTGTTGTTTATATTTCTGCCATGGCCCCTGTGTACTTTCTCCAGATGTTAAACAGTGAGAAGCTGTGGGCTTGTTTCAGTCACTTATAACAACATATTTCATGTATGTTGCTCTTCAAGTTCTTGGATTTCTTCACAGTAAATGTTAGAATTGTACTGTCTGTTCTTCCAATGTTCTGTTTAGTTGCAATGTTTCTGTGGTGTCCTTTTATATTTCTGCCATGGCCCCTGTGTACTTTCTCCAGATGTTAAACAGTGAGAAGCTGTGGGCTTGTTTCAGTCACTTATAACAACATATTTCATGTATGTTGCTCTTCAAGTTCTTGGATTTCTTCACAGTAAATGTTAGAATTGTACTGTCTGTTCTTCCAATGTTCTGTTTAGTTGCAATGTTTCTGTGGTGTCCTTTTGTTTATATTTATATTGAAAATGTGCAAGACTGCAGTCAAGGAAGTATCCTGCCATTTTTTTTCTGTGTCTGTCATTTTGGAGTGTGCTTCTGTTGGCTTTGCATCATGTGGAGACAGAGCAGTTGCTGTCAGACATGTCATACCTCTGCCATGATTATAGGCTGAGATGTAGGGTCTTATATTTCTGCATCTTATCATGGCTACTTGTGGGCACATGCAGCCATCACGTGTTCAGTGCTGCCACCAGAAATGATCTGAACAGACAGACAGCTCTGACATAGAGGGAGGCATGCAACATTTTGTGGTAGCGTAGGTATGTAGTGCACGTGTATGTTCATAAGGGAAAGCAACAGGAGGCTGGAGTTGCTCCTACTTTTGGCTAGTGCCATTGCCAATCTTTACTCTTCCCTTGCCTTTGTTGCACAGTTTTGAATTTCTGGTAAAATTCCTTTTGCTACACAGTAGAAGTACAGAGACCCACAGAGGAGAATAGCTACAAGTTCCTCAGAGTCCACTCCTTTCTCATTAACTGGCACTTAAAGTTTCAATAACACACTCAGTAGAAGAATAAAAAAAATTCTTTACTTATAGTTGCTTGTAATTAAATACATGCTGTCATTACTGTACATATATTTAGCAACCAACTGAACAGATCAACAGCAAACAAACAACTGCCTCCAACAGATGAAAGAAAGGGGAAAAAGACACTCAGTAGACAAGTGAGCCTCTGGGGAGTGGTTGGTGCTGTACAATCACCTCAGTGCAGAAAATTCCTTCCCAGTTGCACAAACTACAGATAGCATGTTATGTTGCAAATAAAACCTTCAACAGCCCTCACCTTCTGCTACTTCCATTGTAGTTCCCTCGGTGCTTCAGGGATGAGCTGTACACCCCTAGGTTGCTGCCAAAGGAAATTTGAGGAACTGTGGAGGTTGGTGTGGAGCCAGAACTTCTTACGAATCATGAAGGAAGGGTTACAAGAAGAAGAAGAAGAAAAAGATTTGTCAGATAAGTTAAGACCTTATATGTTTTGGAAAGGATAGAAATACCCTTATGAAGCATTTACTTGCTCGTTGTCTAGTCGTTAGTCATATCCGACTCTTCGTTACCCCATGGACCAGAGCATGCCAGGCCCTCCTATCTTTCACTACCTCTCGTAGTTGTGTCAAATTCATCTTGGTTGCTTTGATGACACTATCCAACCATCTCATCCTCTGTCATCCCCTTCTCCTCTTGCCTTCACACTTACCTAACATCAAGGTCTTTTCCAAGGAGTTTTCTCTTCTCATGAGATGGCCAAAGTATTGGAGCCTCAGCTTCAGGATCTGTCCTTCCAGGGAGCACTCAGGGTTGATTTCCTTTAGAATGGATAGGTTTATTCTCCTTGCAGTCCAGGGGACTCTCAAGAGCCTCCTCCAGCACCACAATTCAAAGGCACTAGGTCAGGCCAAGGGAAAAAGTGATTGGCCCATTTCATGGTTCAGTAAGGACTTGACCCTGGATGTTCCAGGTCCCAGCCAAGTAAGCATTAGATGATTGAGTCAAAGTGTCTTTAACTGCTGAGAGACTGATCCATTTGGACCTGAGCAGGAGTACTTACATTTTATAAACACCAAGAGCCAGGGGGGAAAAAGTTCAAAATCCACAGGAAAGCTTTTGGGGACAACAGTAATTCTACTATATTTTATTTTGCCAGTTTGCCGCTTGGGGAGTTGTGGAGAACTCAAAAGCTTGTGCTGTACCGTTGATTTTCAGCCAGTACAGTATTAACAAAGTTGCATACTAATAGAGATGTATATATCAAGAAGCATTCACCCATCTGTTAGAGATACATAGTAAATAAGTATTCAGAGATTCACCAGACCAGTGAGCAGGGTGAGGAGGTAAATTGGGGAGGGGGGGGAGAGAAGACAGCTGTGGGAGAGTTGTTTTCTCTCCTCTTTTCTTCCCAGGAAAACCAAGGGCAACCGGTTGGCCCTAGGGAAAGGGTCGCGGTCAGAAGGCAGGGGCAATTCGCCACTCCATTAGAGGTGGCCACCTCCGTTTGCCTAAGGGATAGGACGGCACTAGATGCCACTTGGCACATCTTTCCCACTGGACATCTGAGGAGAATTTATAACGGTTTTACTGTATTGCGTGATCTGTGTGGGTTTTCGCTTTTTAAATATATTTTCATAGTGGTTTTTTTTAAAAGTAGGGGTTATTAGCCGTCTTGAGGTGGCAAAGAAATTGGAATGCTATAATAATTTTTTTTTAATCGGCAGCCACCTCATTCTCGAGTTAGGATGACTAAAAATCGGTTAGTCCACCATTCCCGTTCAGCAGGGAGACGGAGCGGAAAAGGACGGTTCTGTCACCCGCGCAGAGCGAGGAGGAGAAGAGGGAGGAGGCCCTGCCCGGCCGCCAAGCTCTTCCCGGGGACGGGAGAGAGGGAGGGTCTTTCCTTTCCAGGGAATTCTTAGGCCGCCCTTCCCCGCCTCCGTCTGTCCTCCCCTCAAAGCGAACGGGGGGGGGGAAGGCGGACCCGGCGGGGTGCCCCAGCCAATGGGGAGGCGCCCGAGTAGCGGGCGGGTGGTGCGTGGCCGGGACCGGGCCATGGCGACGCTGACGGCTCCTCCGCCTCGGGGGAACGCCGAGACCCGGATGGCTCTGGTCACGGTGCCCACGCTGCTCCTGTTGCTGCCGGGCGTGGCGGGTGAGTAAAAAGGCCAGGCAGCGCTAAAGGGAAGCGGGACGAAGCGCTGCCTTCCTTCGGAGTTCGTTCCGCCAAGGACCCCCTCGGGGTGGCCTCGCCTCGGCTCGGCGCTCGGGGCGGACCCTTCGGATGGGAACGCGGCGCGGCCCCGCGGCGGGCGTCCAGGGCGCGCGCTCCCGCCGCGGAAAGAATGGGAAGGGGCTTGGCTGGCTGGTTCGTCGGCGAACAGGCTTTGCCCCGCAGAGAGCAAGCATCCCCCCGAAGGGCAACTTTTTTTTTTTTAAAAGGCCACCGTGACGGGAGACAAAAGTCCAAAGGAACGCGAGAAAGAGGTCCCATCCTGCCCGCGATGAGCTTAAAACAAAGAGTCCGACTCGCACTTGGCTTTGTTTTCCTTAAAGCCGACCATCAGAGTTGGTCGTGGGGATGGGGGGGGGTGTCAAATGGCCTTCGGGGCGCGGTGAAACTTGTTCCCGAGTAAGCCTGCCTGCCTGCCATACTGTACTGGTCTAGGGGCAAGTCCCATTGAAGTGGTGGAGGTCAGTTCCACGGAAATAGGGAAGCATAGTTTTAGGCAGCAGTGGTATCAACTGGCCCTTTTAAAGGTGCACTTTTTTAGAAGCAGCTGGGCTAAAATGACAAGACTGTAAATAAGGGTTTTATGTCAGGGGCATTATTAAACATCATAAAATAAGAGATATATTATTAATATATATATTAAAATAATTGATCAATCAGAAACAGAAAACAGACCATCCCATCCCATATTAGCTTATATGAACATTTTTTTCAGTGAATGACATGTTAACAAGTAAGTTTCTGTGTATGATTTGCATTCTGGATCAGGGATGTTCTCTAATTAATTCAACATATTACAGGTTTTCCTTCGGTGAAGTTGAGCTCTCTTTGGCCCTAACTGGGCAAAAAGTGCAAAAAATGTCAAAATATTGTATGTTGTTATTTGCTGTCAAATCACTTTCCATGTATGGTGACCGTAAGAGGGGTTTCAAAGTATGTAAGATGTTGAAAGAGAGGTTGATTGGGTATTGTCATTCCCCACCCCTGCACCTGCCCAGATATTATGTTACAAGATAGTGTCCAACAAGGCCATGAAACTGTCAAAATTGTGAAGACATCTCAATGCTAAACCTAAAGAACATGCTACAATGAACATTGCTCCCCCCCAAAAAAAGTACAGAGCATGAGCTTTGAAAAGTAAGAAAATGGTAAAGAAGACTGCAACTTGTTTTAGCAATGAAAATGCAGTAACCGCCTCATTTGAAGTTTCTCAGCTAATAGCAAAGACAGGAAAACCGCTCACAATAGCTGAAGAACTTGTATTAACTGCTGCAAAAATCATGGTTTCTGCATTGATCAAGAAGAAAGCTGCCAAGGACCTTTTCTTACCTTTGTCAAATGACAAAGTTAAGAAGCAGTTGAAAGTTTGTCAGGCAATATTAAGGAACAATTATTAGAAAGAATTCACATGTCCCCTACTTTTCACTGCAATTGGATGAAAGCACAGACATAAACAAAGGGATCTTACTGTGCTACATTATATATGAACACGAGAAAAATGTTTTTGAAGACATACTGTTCATCTCCTTGTTGGTACACACTTAGATTAGTCATCCTTCAGTCTTGAGAGACTATAGTATCGTGCTCTGTATGGAGGACTTAGAACAGCATCTAATGTGGCTGAGGAGGCCAATTTAAGAGTGACAATCCCTTGCACACTGAAGACAAATACAGTCTGTCCCCTGTCCAGCTCTCTGATTTTGCTGCTTTCGTGACTGTCTCTTTGCCTCAGCCTGCTGGACAAAGGTCTCTTTAACTTCGGAGAGGTCGTGATGCACTGCCTGCCTCCAGGCTGAACACTCAGATGTCAGGGTTTCCCATCTGTTGAGGTCCATTCTTAAGGCCTTCAGATCCCACTTCCAGATATTCTTGCATTGCAGCTGTGGTCTCCCTTTGGGGCGATTTCCCTGCACTAATTTTCCACACAGGAAATCCTTTGGAATCTGACCATCAGCCATTCTCACGACACGCCCAAGCCAATGTAGATGTCGCTGTTTCAGTAATGTATACATCCTAAAAATTCCAACTTGATTTAAGACTACAGTATCCTATTTGGAACTTTGTTCTGTCAGGTGATACCAAAAATGCATCAGAGACAACACATATGGAACGTGTTCAGCTTCCTCTCATGCCGTGCACAAAGGGTCCAGGACTCACTGCGGTATAGGAGTGTGCTCAGGACACAGGCTCTATAGACCGGATCTTGGTGTATGCCGTCAGCTTCGTATTGAGCCGTACTCTCTTTGTGAGTCTTGAGAACATGGTAGCTGCTTTGCCAGTGCGTTTATCCAGCTCGACATCTAGAGAGAGGGTGTCAGAGAACATTGAGCCAAGGTATGCAAAATCCAATTCTTGTGCGGAGATGGTAATAGAGGGAGGTGAGTCCACGCCCTGATACACAATACAGCTGAAGTATTTAGCAGCTTATATGAGTTTATAACATCTCATGACATAGATTGGTTAAAATGTGTTGGAATTAACATAGACAGGGCATGAGCAATGCCTGGAAAGCTTACTGGACTTGTAGCACAGATTAATAAAATCATACCATCAGTGACTTGGTACCCTTGTTGCTAAGAAGATACCAGAAAAAACTAAAGCAGACTTGAAATGAATCAGTCAAAATTGTCAATTTTATAAAAAGCAAATAACTGAATTCAAGACCTGTTGAGCAGTTTTGCAACAATATGGAGTGGACAGGACCAACGTTTGCTACACTGTGAAGTTTGTTGGCTATCACAAGGTAAATTTTTGTCTTGTTTTTGGGAACTGAAAGACAAGATTATTCCTCATGGAGAAACAATTTCACCTCAGTGATTGTTTGACAGATTTTTCCTGGTTAGTCAAATTAGCATTTCTGTCAAATATCTTCAGCTATTTAAATATCTTACCTTTGAACTGTAGAGCTGGAAGGGACCCTATGGATCATCTAATCCAGCCCCTATGAAGGAGGCAAAGTGGGGAGGTGTTGAACTTGCAATCTCTGACTCTGCAGCCAGATACCTAAACCACTGAGCTGCTCAACTTAAATCTTCAAAAAGGGAAGCTTACAATTTTTAAAGGTAAAGACAAGATCAAAGCAATGATCAAAAAGTTGGAATTGTGGCATCAACACCTATCGAACTGAAACTATGAGGCATTTCCAAACTTCATAAATTGTCTTGGTTCTACCAACACAGAGTTGGGTGAGAAGGACAGATTACTTATTGCACAACATTTGGAAGATTTGCAGCATAGTTTCCATGAATATTTTCCTGTTCCTCATGCAAGCATAAACTGGATTAGAGATCCATTTTCAGTTAATGCATATGAACTAGAGGGGCTCACAGCAGCGGGGAAGACAAGCTCATAGAAATATCCACAGATGGTGCTCTGAAATTGGAATTCAAGGAACAGTCCCTTCTAAATTTCTAGGCTCACCTACAAGCAGATTTTCCAGAACTATTGAAGAGGGCTATAAAAGTATTGATGCCTTTCATAACAACATAGTTGTGCAAAAAATCATTCTCTGCTCTTGTTTATCTTAAAAATAAGTATAGAAACCATTTGAAAAACGCAGAGTCAGAACTCAAAATACAAGTTTCAGCTATTAAGCCCAATATAACAACGCTTGTAAGTGAAACAGCACCAGCCTTCTTGTTAATTATAATTATATTAATACAATATGTTCTCTCTTTTTCCACTCAACTTGTGTTTAATGAGGTACAATTTTGTACAAATTGTATTCATGTCATTTTTGTATATATGTCATATTAATGATTTATTGTGCTTGCAATTTCAATTTCTCCAACAATAATTAAATTGATGGCTGTTGTGGGTTTTTTTGGGCCGTGTTCTGAAGGTTTTTTTCCTGACGTTTCGCCAGTTCTTGCAGCCGGCATCTTCGGAGGATTGTCTTCCACTGCCTCCCAGAGTTGGGTTTTCCTGACGCCAGTCTTTGCAGCCGGCATCTTCGGAGGATTGTCTTCCACTGCCTCCCAGAGTTGGGTCAAATTCATGTTGGTAACTTTGATGACACTGTCCAACCATCTCGTCCTCTGCTCTGTCCTTCTCCTCTTGCCTTCACACTTTCCCAGATCTCTCCTTCCAGTGAGCACTCGGGGTTGATTTCCTTCAAAATGGATAGGTTTGTTCTCTTTACAGTCCAGGGGACTCTTAAGAGTCTCCTCCAGCACCACAATTCAAAAGCATCAATTCTTCAGTGGTGAGCCTTCTTTATGGTCCAGCTCTCACTTCCATACATCGCTACTGGAAAAACCATAGCTTTGACTATGCGGACCTTTGTCAGCAAGGTGATGTCTCTGCTTTTTAAGATGCTGTCATCACTTTCCTCCCAAGAAGCAGGCATATTTTAATTTTGTGGCTGCTGTCTCCATCTGCAGTGATCATGGAGCCCAAGAAAGTAATATCTGTCACTACCTGTGTATCTTCCCTTTCTATTTGCCAGGAGGTGATGGGACCAGTGGCCATGATCTTAGTTTTTTTGATGTTGAGTTTCAGACAATGTTTTGCACTCTCCTCTTTCACCCTCATTAAGAAGTTCTTTAATTCCTCCTCACTTTCTTCCATCAGAGTGGTATCATCTGCATATCAGAGGTTGTTGGTATTTCTTCCAGCAATCTTAACTCCATCATATGCATGATGTATTCTGCATATAAGTTAAATAAGCAGGGAGACAATATACAGCCTTGTCGTACTCCTTTTCCAATTTTGAACCATTCAGTTGTTCAATATCGAGTTCTGACTGTTGCTTTCTGCCCTACATATAGATTTCTCAGGAGACAGATAAGGGGTCAGGCACTCTCATTTCTTTAAGAACTTGCCATAGCTTGTTGTGGTCCACACAATTAAAGGCTTTTGTGTAGTCAATGAAGCAGAAGTACAATGGACCCTTGACTTACAGATGGCTTGACTTACAGACTTTTTGAGTTACAGACTTCTCTGGACACAAAATTTAGGTTTGACTTGCAGACTGAGATTTGACTTGCAGACCAGAAAAAAACCAAAATGGAACAAAAACGGACTGTTACGGGATTAATCGGTTTTCAATGCACTGTAGGTCAATGGAGACTTGACTTACAGACTTTTTGACTTGAGA